CACAAGCAAACTGTGGCCGGACAAATCCGGCACGCATGCCGTTGTGTGCTGCTGTTTTCATCTCACAGCCAGTGTGGAAGAGTTGTCAGGAACGATATGCGGGTTTTTAAACCTGGCGCACAACATGTAAACGAGACTTTATCTAGGGAAAGGAAGGCCTGGGTTCCCATGTCTCAGCTCGCCTCGAGGACGGACAAAGGAGTTTAAACTAGAAGGTTAAGAGCAAAGAAACAACACTACCAACTAAAATGAAAACAAGGAGGATGTAGGTGACGCGTGGAATATGTGCAATGCTGCTACAGCACAGCAAAATGTGACCAAGCTAACCGGAGACTGGCTGACTGCCACTGACTTAATAGCAGTCAGACCAGGTGAGAAGAATTTCCTTGATGACCTGACTCCATCCTCCACAGGGCTGCAAAGAAAGTCTGTCATTGGTGTTTATTTGAAATACCAACACATAATGAGGATTGACTATTACATTTATGTGGTTATAAAAAATGATTCAGGTTATTAATATTTGGTAGGTTTGGCTAGTTTTCCATGTGCAAAGCACATACATATATAGTTTATTCCAGCAGACACCAAAGTAGTCTCAAGGCTACCACAAAGGTGGTAGCCTTGAGACTATGGTGGAACATTGTTTCATCATATCACGCCTTAAATAAATCTTTATTCCCTTAGACAGAGTATGCCCACGATTTTACCACCCACACACCCCCACACACCCACACACACACACCTACCCTGAAATGAGAAATCTCACAGAATTGATCCCCATATGACATGGAACCCTTCCCTCATTGCTTTCCTGTTTTATTTAGATGTACAAGCTTCATTTAAGCTTTCACTTCGCTTCACTTCAGGCTGCCGATCCACAGTTTTAAGGCTGCATTTCTAGCGGGGCCAACTGAGCTAATTTGTTCTGCAAATATATGCAAATGGGATCTGTAATAAGGCGAATCCATCAGCCAATTCTGTCCGCTCTCTAAATTCATGGGTGCATTTATGAAAGGAGAAAACGGACGGGCCAACACCTGACATCTATCTAATATCCACGAGAGGGTTGATGGTGATTGATTGGGGCCTATGTGGACAGCAGGACAGCGTGTGCATACTAGATTACACCTGTCATCACGAGCCATCTTTATTATCAACATGACATATGTACTAAGGATGTCTTGCTTTATTTTCATGCGAGACAAGCCATCCAATCTGAAATGTTAATGACGTGTTCAAGTCCACGCCAACCATGTGGAAAATTCCATTTTTTCCCGCTCAAATTTATGCTTTATAATGGGAGGGAGGGGGGGGGCCTTGAAAAGTGAACATCACTAACATGTAGTTGATTTAATTAGTAATTAAAAGGCTCAAACTCAGTTAATTCACATTTACACTTTATCGTCTGACTTCCACTTAGACATCTCTTTGTTAACAACCTGTCGGTTTTCGAGGAGATAATTGGCATCCGTATGTTGTTGACGCTCCGTCTTTCTCTGTGGAACAGGCTGTTTGCTTAAATAACACGGCCGTCAACCTGCAGCATGCGAAGGCTCATCTTGTGTTTATTTCATCAAGCCAAGAAGCAGCAGATGCACGGTCGGAGGGAGTTTGAAGGAATAACGTTAATTGCGACTTTCAGACATGTGGCAGGTGAAGACTGATGAAGTTAACACGTAAACAGCAGCTCATATGGTCATGTATAATGGTGGTTAGAGCGTGAAAGGGAATGTAGTCATTATATCGTGATTTCTTTTTTTTTATACATTTGCTGAATGCAAACTAAAACAAGTCGCTCATTGCTTCTATTCATGTGCCAACCAACACCCAAGACCATTGGTTCCCAATGTTGTTGGCCTGTGTTTCTCTACACGGGTTGCTGTGTCTATCCACTGGGTCGTGATCACTTCCCAATTTCTTTTGTTTTTTTGGGAACAGTATTCAGTAATTTGCAAGAAAAATGCAAAAATATACCAGATGTTGTGCATCATCAAGCCTTTTCAATTGTTGCAACGCCTGGTAAAGTCCCAGTCTCAAAAACATAATGAAACATTCCAGCTTCCAGGGAGTATGATTACTTGATTTATTTAAAACCTGGTTGCGCATAAAGTTTTAAACACTGAATACTGATATGTAGATTGATATGAAATTGTTTGACATTTTGGTACATACTCGTGTACTCGCTTTCTCGCCGAGAGTTAGATGAGGAGATTGACACCACATCAGTTGAATGTGCGTCAAGTATGTAGCTCGAGCCGGGCACTGGTTAGCTACTAACGTTACGACTGGAAACAGGGGCAAGAGCTAGCTTGTCTTTACCAACAGCCAAGCTAGCTGTTTACCCATGCTTTTAATGCTAAGCTAAGCTAATCTCCAGCTCTTAACGCACAGCAGCCCGGTCTCCTAAAAGTCACGTTCCCAAACAACAAAACAGCATTGTCAATAATTACCTCTTGAGGGAACCGTCTTTTCTGCTGGATTACGTGTGTTTGACGCAGTAAAACCATAGGGTGGATGGGTGGTTCAGACAAACATATCCTTCTGCTGTTTGTGCCCTGTGGGAAACTAAAAATCAATGTTGACTTAACATAATAAACATACTTACTCAAAACCAAACCAAGATGTTTTACTAAACCTAACCAAGTGGTTTTGTGGCAGTTTAGTTGTACGGGAACTTCATTTTGTCAGAGACAGGGTTGCGCACAGACATGACTGTATCTCCCCAAAATGTCAAACTATTCTTTTTAAGTTTTTTTAGTAATCTATGACCTTTATAAATCTCTCTCATAGTAGAAAGACGTTCACTGCTGCAGCAGAACTCTGTAACCCCTCCGTCACTCTGAGTGGCAGGAGAGAGACTGAGAATATCCTAAAATGCTGACAAAAACAAGCTGGATCGTGACTTTTGAAAATCAGCGATCTCAGCACCTCGCTGAGTTATTGAGTGTTGATGAAGAACTCTATCAACCCCCCCCCCCGGGCAGATTAACAGACACATTTCGGTATTTTTCCTGTGACAGGGCATTGACAGTCTCACAAATTGCCTCTCTAAACATGTGCCAATTACTCTCGCAAATAAATGTCAATTTTATTTCCTAGGCTGCCACTTCAGAGGGCAGATGAAATAAGTACACAGGGCTTGTGGGCAAATCAGAGGAACAGAAGGATGACATGGAAACATGTTACATGTTTTGCAACAGCCTTCAATGCCTTGCTCAAGGCTAGTGGTCTTGTGTCTGTGTGCTTTGTTGGGTGTGGGAAGACTTTCATGTATAATTATCTCATCAAAGGGAGCGAACACCATCTTAGTCCTGATAAGCTATGAATGGAGAGAGGACAGACACTGAGGAAAGGAAGGAAGGGAGTAAAGGAAATTCAAAACCTCCTCCAAAGGAAAAAAAAAACCACTGAGTTGAAGCAAGTCTTCTGTTTAATATGAATATTTATTTAAAAATCCATAGTTTTCGATACAGAAATAGTCATCTATTATATGTATTATCAGACAATCAGTACTTCAGCCATGCTTTCTCTGATTAAATCACGGTTTCAGAAAAGTACAAGATAATTATTTAATCCATGAACTTGTGCAAAGAAAAAAAAAAAAAGGTCCACTAGAAAGCAATAGAAACACTGACACAAAATAGATAACCATTAATGAAACAATTCATTTTTCTGAAGAAGGCATTGCACAATTCCAAGAAAATCAGAGAAAGATTTAAGGCCGTTTTGTACAGTTAATTTTTCATATAGTTTGTATATTTCAAAACACTCAGTTATTAACAAAAGGAACTGGTGCATCCTTTGTAAAACTGTACATGCAAACATAGTGCACGTTGTTAAGAAGATATGACGAGCATACAATATATTATTTGGATAGCTTTAGTAAACAAAAGATCTTATGTGTGTTTACACCTCACGTGGTCTATTAAAACACTCGCGCACACACACACACACACACACACACACATACGCAAGGTATACTTATATCAAACGCATGCACACAGACACACACTCTTAGGGGCTCTGTAAAGTTAGTGAGCTGTTGCACTACGATGGACAATTAAAACAATATTAATACCGGTCCGCCCAAAACAGACCAACAGAAAATAACTGGCACCAATGGCTACCGCGGTGACTATGTGGTGTGTGTGTGTGTGTATGGAAGCAAAGAAAGGACAAAATAATAACACAAATATTAGCAAATTAATACATTTTGAAATGCCAAAATTTAAGCTGAAAATGAAGTATCATTGAATTCATATCACTACAATGTTTTGATTTGGAACCCATCCATCTGGATTAAGGTGGTTTGACTTCCGCTTTTTGAATTTTCCTGAAGGTAACTTCAAGTTTTAAAGTTTATTCACGTTTCAAATCACTGATCACTCTTTTTTTCTTGATAGCTCATCCTTTATAGCCCAAATGTTAACATTTTTTCATCTTGAATTTTAGTGTCTGAATTATTCTTTGATTTGACTTCTAAAATAAGAAAATGACCAATTTGTTTTGAGCAATAGTTATGCAATAGTGGTTTAGGAATTCAAACCACATTCATTCAGATTGGTTGTTTTCCTAGTAAAATATATGAATGCTGTAAATTGAATAGATGAGCGTTGTCACATTTAAAGTGGAGACGTGAGCGTGAAGTAAGCGGCGCCTTTTCCTACCCTAAAAGGAGTTGGCTGAAGAACGAGTGACTTTGAAACAGGAGGTAGTTCGCCATTGAAATGGCACGACAGGGGCATCATTTAACTTCAGCGTCCTGGGTTTGAATCTGGTCACTATGAAAAGAAAAAGAAGTAGCTCGGCACAACGGGGAAGTTGACGTTTACCTTTCTCCCGCATGACTCATTCGTTTTTTAACCTTTAAAAAGTGAGCTGTGTAACTTTTTAAAAAAAAAAAGAAATGACACATTCCTCTCACGAATGAAAAGGTGAATTCATAAAAATGAACACTTTGTCGATTCAACACACTCGGGGTTCTGCCACTGCAGCTTTACTTGGCCTGGTATGACCGGTAGCTAACGGTGGCTAACGTTAGCTACCTTTAGACAGATATTGCTGTGTCACTGTTTGACTCTTTAGCTACTATTAAATTACATTTCTGCCGTAATTTAGCAATTACTTTGATGAGTACTATGTTATCATAGATAGGAACAATAGCCGGAACATAAATAAAAGTTGCAATGAACCATAGTTTTGCTTTAAAATGATCCCGCAGACTTGTGCTTGTGCCCACAGTGGCTGCTGCAGAAAGGGGGTTGCTTTTATCTTTTTATCTTTCGTCTACAGAAGATTGTTTCTACCAGAAGGGATTCATGCTAAATTGTCGCCAAAAAGGAACATCAAAACACTCCCGCCACCCAAACATAATCCCTTCTCTGACCCCCCGCAGTGCAGGATGTAAGTCTTACAGTAATGAGCTCCTCATTCTGACCCGCTGTCCTAACAATGTGTCCAGCGCGGCTGCAGGAGTGCGACTGCAGCGGTGAACCAAACACACACACACACACACGCGCACACACACACTGGAACAGCTAGTCCACTCTGCAACAGTGGCTGTACAGGACGGGGGTTGTGAGGAAACAAAGATGAATTTAAGAATATCAAGCAACAAGACAAGCAATGAATGAGACTCAAAACAAATTGTGTAGAAAAGATCATCTTCATGTTGGTTGCATTTTGATTTTGGCACAGGCAATATCCTCAAAAAATGGATTGCGCAATACTATGACTAAAGTGTCTAACACTGCCACAAGTATGTTGAATACTTTGACTCTGTAATCAGCTGACTATTTTACACACACACACACACAAAAAGAAAATCTGGGAAATTTTGTTGCAACACGTGAAAAAAAAGACGCAATGATTTCATTAAAAAGTCTTCGTTTAGACATCAGAGTCAGTCAGCAGATGTGTGTGTTGTAGTTTTAAGACGGCTTCAGGGTGATGATACAGTAATACAAAATAATTAAAAACACTTCAATGCTTGAATATCCTTTCACATTGTTGGTGCTGCAATGTATTTCCCTCATGAGCCAATGAATGTTCAAATGTTCCCCCTTTTTAAACGTTTCATATGCTTTAAAAGAAGTTGTGTCGTACGCACAAATCTCATTCACATTTAACATATCCTCTCGTCACCGCAACACTGACAAAAACCCTTCCACATTCACGACAAAACAAAACAAAACAACCCAAACTCATTCTTCATTAGACGTCACGTTAATTTGGAAACTTGTCTGGACATCCTGGGTGACTCGGCAGGAATCACGCAAATCATCCTCTTACACGTGATTGGCACGTAAGAATACACGTCATAAAAACAAACATATAAAACGCTTTATCAAAGCTAAAAGGTACAATAAAAAAGTACACACTGAAATAAATATAATGGAACAAAAAGCCAACATAGGGAAAGTGTGTTTTTCTCTGCATTTTTGACCACTGGGCTCTTTATGCTCAAACGGCATTTCGTTTGAGAGCAGCTGCTGTCGTTTTTAAACATCGGGGCGGGGACGTGGTGTTGGACGACACAATGAGACGAAACCCCTGGGCACGTGGGCATCATATTGCCAAGGCAGTTAGGAGGAGAACAGAGAGAGAGAGAGAGAGAGAGAGAGAGAGAGGCTATGCTTCCATTCAGAAGTCAAATTAATGCTACGCAAAAAAGTGAAATGCTGAAAACCTGTTGGCATTTGAAAGGTAAAACATTTGCTCTTAAATGAGTGCGAGACGCAGGAAAGGCTTGAAATGGTGCTTATACAGATGAAACAGCACCTGATGAGACAAGAAGTAATAGTCAATTACTATTTTTAAGGGATTTCTTTCCAAACAGCTTCGATGAATAATGTAAAAAAGTGGTTGAGGACTAAACCAGGCGTGTAATACGGCCTCTGCTTGCATTCCTCTGATTTCACATCCGGGCTTCTCCATGTAACCCAGTGCGTAACATCACAACGCTATGAATTGTGGGTAATTCCATCAGGCAAAGTCTGCAGAGATGCAGACATAAGGAAAGTGTGCTTAAAGGGCTCAAAAAGTCTCTGAGCGAGCCCTCGGGCACTAGAGGATTTGACAGTGGGACAGCCCTAAACCCTAACGGACTTTGCCTCAAAGTCCTCGAGTCTCTGAGCGTGGACATTAGGATTGGGCCTAAAAGTCCACAGCCATGCCAGAGGCTCTGTGAGGTTGCACTCTAACCTCAGCCACACCAAAGTTATTACTATTCATCCTGAGGTGAACAGGAATGTTCGTCCCAAATTTCCGACCGACACTGCCATCAATTAAGCCATGCTGCTAGCATGACTTCAAAACAACATTGCACTTGGAAATATTACAAGTAATACACATACTGAAGATGGACGGACACCTTATGCAAGGGTACACGATCTCTGGGGAGCAGGCTAGACCAGATATTTTACATTTCAAAATGCCCAAATACTCATTTAGGAATGTCATCTGCTCGGATGAGCATACCAGAATTACTCATTTTCTTTTCAGCTCGTCTATTAAAACAAAAAATGTCGGATGGAAACACAGCTCGTAAAAGTGAGAGAGACGAAGAGAGAGAGAGAGAGAGAGAGAGAGAGAGAGAGAGGCTGCAACAGGGAGACAGACCTCAGAGCAGTGCAGACAGACAGAGAGGGTGAAGTGACAAATGGAGATGCAGGCAGATAGACACTCACCCCCCCACACAGACAGAGAGACAAAGTGATGGATAGAAGAGGTAGTGCAGGGCCACTATATGCATGCACTGGACTGAGGCTACACTCATGCAAAAGGTTAATACGAAAACCAGAATACGGTACGGTACGGTACAGCACGGTACGGTACAGTACAGAAGGGCTACCGGGACCTGCACTGCTGCTACCTGACACACACGCCAGGAGAGAGAGAGAGAGAGAGAGAGAGAGAGAGAGACAGAAAGAGAGAGAGAGATTCATATATGTGTATATAAAAGTATCAACAGTAAAAATCCTTGTTAGTGTTTACTGTAAACAATGAGTGAGTTGGAGAGAAATAGAAGAAGTGACATATGTCTTGTTATTTACAGAGAAAGTTCATTAAAGTGTGATTTCTTTGTTTTTTGTCTGGAGACATTCTCTTTACAATGTTTCCAAAGCTGTCCTTCATTTCCTTTTTCATTCCGTCTTTACCTCCCGGCTTGAATTCAGACATCTCCGAACTCTCCCCGGGGCCTGTCCAGGTTTCCCAGGCGAGAAGAAAAAGATAAAATAATAATAATAATTCCAGACAGAAACAGGAATGCTTGACAGTGGAAGTAAACAGACTCTCATTGGCTTTTCCTGGCCTCGAAAGCGACACTCTCCTGGCACGACATGCAGCTTCCTGAACACGAGAAAGACCACCGTGATCCACGACGACAAGGCATGGAGAGCGGCTTTAGGGAAATGGAAGTACTTTGCGCGTAAAAGTTCAGCTAACCCCTGACTCTGAAAAACCTTTCTCCCCCCTTCTCCCCACCCACCCACCACCCCCACTCCTCATATCTGGGTTTGCAGAGGCTGCCCTGGCGGCGTGTAGGGAGGCGGCGTGTAGGGAGGCGGCGCTGGCGACGGCTTGATCCCGCGGGTCCTCATGTAGGAGAGGAACTGGTCAGGGATCTCGGCCAAGACGTCTTTCGCCAGCCGGGCCATGCTCAGGATGTGGTTACCCGTCCGGTCGATGTAGTCCCTGAATGGGACGAACTGAGAGGGAGGAGAGGGGATAAACACAAAGAACAGAGATTAAAAAAGAAGATTAAGAGCAGAAGAAGGAGTATAAAAAGCACAAAGAGTGGAGAAAAATAATGGAGAAAAAAAAGAAAGAAGAATTTAAATTATATAACATAATTTATCCTCTGTGTTTCAAGTTGCTTTGTTCAGTGTTTTAAGTGGAAGGAGCTCTTGTGCACGGCAAGATTACTGCTGCAGAGAAGAGAGTCTCTCCTAATTACGACGCTGCAGATTCGCCCTATTTCCTGCAGCACTTGGAGAACAATCTGATCCCTGAGGTCACTGAGATGAGCGGCAGCAGCCGTGGATACAAAAAAAAATAAAATGTGCAAATTAGTGATATGATGTTTTTACTGAGAATATTAGGTATTGAAGCTCGCTGGAGCCGTTTGGGGGTTGCTGGTGTGTGAAAGTGAACAGCTGCAATCTTTTAAGATGGAGAGAGGAGACGGGCACACAGCCAGCATTTACATACCGAGACCTAGTTAGCTCAATCAAATGTCTGGGATTAAGGACATGCAATATTAGGCAGAGAAATATGCAAGTTCAAATATGGGGATGAGCGCGGATACTTTTTCACAACAGCAAACTTGTAACAAGTCAGGAATCTAACGAATATTAGTGGCGGTAGTGTGTAATTGTCATTCCGAAAGGGAAACTGGAACCTACTAGGACTGCTGACATACAAACCGTTGTTATGATCCATACATGACAAAGCAATATTTGCCGTCCATTTTCGCACCACTCTCACCTAGCTATTAGCTTCATTCCAGGTGGCCGTGTCGTAGTGAAAATATGTTTTTTTCAATGATCAGATGAGAGGAAGAGTGAGAAGAGCCTTCTGCGTGTGCCCTCCAGACTTTAGTAGTTTGTCTGCTTTCCTCACTTCCGTTTCTCTTCTCGTGCATCGATTTGTTTAACTTTCATAGATGTTGATTTAGTTCAAACATCTCGTATAGTATTCTGTATGTAAACTGTGGCTGCTTGCTTGTGTGTAGATGATGGTTACATCTATTATATGAACTGAGTGTTTCGGGGTGGTGTTGGTTTTGCTCAGGAACCCCTGGACACATGTGTGTTGACTTCTATCAACCGTCGGTTCACCCCGCTGTGACTCATTATTTACAGTACATCTCGAGACTATCGGCCTCCTTCACAATGCAAATCCACCTGCTGTGATGGAATGAATGCCGGCATATTTCAGGTCCCGTGTCGCAAACCACCGGTTTTATGCTCTTCCGTGGACAGAGCTGCTGAACTAAATGAGGCAGTGTTTGTCGCCTACAATCATATGAGAAGCCAATTTGTGCTGGAAACCCTCGCTGCAAAATGTAACCCTCGCCCTGCGACTCGGGGAAATTAGCCTGCTGATAATGAGAGCCTGGAGGCAGAACTGTGTTCCCGTACTGAAACAGTGTTTTTACACCATCTCCGGGTCTTGTCCTGCATACGTGCATGTGTACTTCAGCTTGTTAAAAAGCCAACTAACGAGTTGCCTTCCTCGCCTACGTGGGCTGAGGGAGGGTGTAGGGGGAGCGGGAGACGACAGCGGGCGGTGTAAAGGTCAGAGAGAGAAGAAGAAAATGTGACTCCGCTGTGTCGCAACAAACAAACGGCTCAGTCTGAGCGTTTGTATTTCATCGCTCTGCTGTGGTGCTGGGGAATGACACGAGTATGAAAGGTAATACTTGCCATTGTTTTACAGCAGAAAAAAACAAGGATACAAATAAAGACAACAAAGGGATGAATACGAATGATTGACAGGCTGAAGGAATGACTACAGATAAATCATAGTTTAGATCCCAGCGATTATTCTGTTGCTGTTGGAGCCCACTTCATATCCCAACAGAGTTTAAAAGGTGGCCTCTGATATGGCTAAGCTGTCGCAGCTTGGTGAAAAACTCACTTCAGCACAGATAAACTGTAAACGTTACACAGAGAAAGGGAGGAACACGGGGTTGATCAGGGCCCAGCACCCTGGAGCAGTGTGGCTGCTTTGATTCAGATTTGATTTTTACTCAAAATCAGTATCAGGTTTACAATAAAACATATGGGATAAAATCAGAAGAAAAGGGATGACGAAGGATCTAAGGGGGCCAAGAGGCAGAGATGTGATTTCACAATCAGACTTTACAGAAGAGAAGAATAACACAGCAGCGGGGAGCAGGATGAGAGCATTGTGTACCTGGACAATGTCCCTCTCAGCGTATCTTCCTCTGGATGAGATTCTGATTTCATCACCGTCCAACTCCACCATGGCTGAGGAGAAGAGAACTAAAAATGATTAACACATTATTTCTTACTGTAGACCCACACGGCTCCAATGAGAGCTCGCAACACGCAAAATACAAAAGCAGCATCTGCAGCTCCCAAACAGACGGAATTTCCCACCAGAACCCAGAGTCTAAAGTTGAATGACACATTAATTAAACTTAAACAAGTTATTGTTGACTTACCGTCAAATTCTGCGGGCCCCACCCCCACGATGATGATTGACATTGGCAGACAGGAGGCCTGCAGGAGACGAACAATGAATATTTGATACATCTCAAAAATTTGAAAACGGCGTGTCTACCCGGGCATGTTCCCATCCCCCGGGGCGTCAAACACCAACGTTGTCATGGCCGTTTGACGTCTGATACGGACTGTGAGACGCACCGGGCTTTCATGTAACACCAATGGAAATCAATCCGTGGCGATATTAGACACCAAGAGCAACTGACCCAGAAAAACGCTGTTTATGTCCCGTGTGAAACCAAAAGTACTACATATAAAGCCTAAATGTAAATTACTTAAATTACTTAAATAATCAAACATACTTATTAAGCCAAACCCACGATCTTTTCCTAAACCAAGTTGCCAAGTGACGCCGAGGAGTCCTGACCCAGCGTCCGTATGTGACGAGTTGGGAATGAGACCGGGTTGGTCTACCTATGTGGGTCGTTAGTAGGATAAAGAAGATGCAGCCTCTGTCCTCATCAGCTCCCACAGATGGTGTCATGTTCTTGTTAACATGTATGGTACATACAGTATGTGTAAACGTAGCGCTGCGTGGGTCGAAGGCGTCGCAAGGAATAATATTAGAGGCGAGAGCATCAACAACACGGCCTGGACCTGCTGACGGGCTTATAAATGACATGTGTTTGTGTGTGTGGGCATGTGTGCAAGAGTCACAGAGAGGGTATGAGGAAGAAAGGGCTAGCGGCGTGTGTGTGTGCAGCGTATTTTGAGTAATGGGTTGACTTCAGGCAGCAGAGCAATAGATGATCTTATCAAAACATCTCGTTTATTTTTCGCTCCCCTCGGTAAAGATTTTCTTCACGTCGCTGCTGCCCTTTGCTCTCTCCCCCCCCCACTCTCGGCCGCCACCTTCTCCTCTCTCGGCCTCCTTCTCTCCTTAACATCTCCCCCTCCTCTCAACCTCTACGCTCCTTCTCTGCCTTCAAAGGCTTTGAGATGGGTCGCTGCCTCCACGGAAGCGGTTGCCATTCACTGTTCACTTTGTTTGCATTCTACATCGCGCCCTGGCTTCCCTCTGGAGCATGCTATGACTTGACAGTGATGGACGCGGGGTGAAAAACATGTCAAAAGTGAGGCCGGCACAGCGGACACTGAAAAAAAAAAAATGAAAATAGAAAAAACAGTAGCAGAGGCTCCCCAGTGCACATTGTATAAACAGTATCTGTTGGCACTGCAGGGAAGGATGGATACGCAGAGACGAGTAAAGATTATGTGTCAGTACAAAACCGCTAAATGACCTCTTATGTTTACGCATACGCTGAGACGATTGTGCTGCACGGATCTGCTAGATTTACATTATCTGCTTCAACAATATGTGCCCTTTTTCTCCATGTAGTAATTCCAGAGTCAATACATCTATAGGCTGACAGCGAGCTGCCTAATTAGGAAAATACTGGCACAGCTGTTTTCCAGCTTTCATTCAAACGCTCCCAGGAGCAAAACCAGCAATGATGAGGATGATTTTAGAGACGCATTTTTCACCCAAACGTAATAAGTTCTCACCGTGACGGTTCTACTCATTTGCATAAATATTTTCATGGTTTTATATCTAAGCATCTGGGCACGAAATACAGCTTGATTGCAAGTTTAGTTTTTCATTATCTTTGCTAGCAAAGGAATTTATAGATACAACTGACATTCTTCCAACATAAAGACTGTGAAATGAGTCCACTTTTTTGTTTTGGGAGTCGGAGTGCAGGGTCAGGTGTCGACTTACGTTGACAATAGACTCCTTGGTCTGGGCCATGTCTGAGATGACGCCATCCGTGATGATGAGGAGCACAAAGTACTGGGAGCCATCCTTCACTGAAGCCGCGTACCTGCGTGCAAAAACACACAAAAAAAAACGATCTTTGTAATTATTTCTGCGCTGCCATCCTGCTGTGTTTACCATGACGGTTCATTAATTGAGCACATCACGCATCATTATGTGTGGTTTTAATTGAAGTACTCTAATGAAATAGATGAGTGGGAATGAGGCTGTATATATCCTTTGAAAATGATTTTCGTCATTGAATAAATGTCACTTACCTCCCACTCTAAATCTGTCAAGTATACTCCTCTCTGTAAATGTCTCGTTAAGTCAATTCTATAGATCCTCAGCTCAATATCAATTTCTGCTGCGATGTTGAGTCCGACCTTTCACTTACATTTGAGGCGTGAACTCGACTGTTTCCAATATTTACACACTGAGATTATTTCAGTCGCTTTCGGCTTTCTGCTAAACTTCACCTTTGTTAGATCTACTGTATCTCTGTCTCCTCCCCACTGCTGATAACTGAGGTTTAACTATCACACTGAAGATGATCACAGCAGAGCAGATGCATCAGGGCGACGACTGAAGGGTGGTAGAGAGAGGAGCAGCATGTGGGAGTAAAGGCATTGGGTCGGTCGAACAAACAGAGGAGAGGAGGTGAAGGTGGGATTACCACGGATAAAAACAACAACCTGTGCTTGGTTGACAAATAGGCAAGAAAAGTTGCAGGAAGATGCAACATGTATCACAACTAGTTTTTAAAGAGCTTTCAGGAGGATGCGTTCATGGAATATGCACCGATTAGTCTGGTACTTCAAACTGGGACGACACTACTGAGATGTAGTCTGGCTGAGAGAGGATAAGAGTTTCTGTTTACAGTCAAATTAACATATTTATCTAATTTGCTGCATGGTTTTCTACATTGTATTTGTGTGTTCTCTTATTTACATGGACCAGGGACAGTGCTTTAGTAACAGATAATACAAATCTACATGAAATAAAAATGTGGGGCAGAGTTAGAAAAAGCAGTAGAAAAGGGGAATAAAAAGCCCCCTGCCAAAACCCAAGAAAGCGACAGTAAGCCTACTTCCCATAACGGGTGTTTATTGCAATTATAGTGGGAGAAAAGGTGTGATTTGTTTGCGCATTAAAAAAAACCAACATGCTGGAGGCGGGTGGACAAAAGCAAAGAGTGAAGTTCATTACAGGGGCTTAATTGAAAGACGACACAATTCAAGAGGAAAACGAGTATTTTAGGTGAAATTACAAGCTAAATAAAAGCCTGCCTCGGTATCACTGCTTGTTTCGCCATTTCCCTTCAGAGTGCCTCTTCACGTGTAACTATGCAATTAGGATTTCAGTAAATTATCTTCTCAATATGTAACCCGATGAGTACATTTCTTTAATTACACACCGGCATGAATAGTTCCTTAATGTCTAGTTTTGTTTATTTCAGAACTTTGTCAGGATCACATGTCCGTGTGGCTTTGCTGCTGCATAAATTATATTCTGGTCTACGCAGAGACTCAAACAAACATGCAATCAGATGGCAGGTACTTTCTCCGTTTGTGCCCCTTGGTGCTTCTCTCTCCCTCGAACTCTTGCTAGCTACCTGGCAACACTCGCAGCTTGGAGCCCATTACAGAAAATCTGAGAACACATGCTGAGCGTCAACCACAAAGTGAAATGTACTCAGTGTTCTTTCATGCATACTTAACTGATTTCAGTTCATTATATAAGCAGTGATGGCGAATAAGCAAGTGTAAAAACAGAGCGTGGAATAATAAACATTATAAACTAATTACTGGAGGAGATGTAAATGTGAGAAGTTGGAGACATCGGTGATTCGTATGCAACAGTGTTTACATTAACTCCTGTAAATAAAGTGTGACTTTGTGTTACCTGGCCACGTGGTTGATGACGGGGGAGAAGTTGGTTGGTCCGTAGAGCTGGACTGACTTCAGACTCTGGTAGTAAGCTTCCATCACACCGTCGATGCCTGTGCAGTACGGGTTCTGAGGGTTCCCATTCTACATCAAGGGGAGGAGAGGAAACCGTCATTAACCTGCATGATTCATTTCAGTTGCAAACTGATGGAGCTAACAGACTGGAGGAGGATTTATAAACTCCAGTGTTGTGTCATGAAAACAGCAACAAAAACTCATTCTCAGATGTGGAGACTAGAATGTCTTAAAATGCATTTCACTGAAAGGATCTTCAGTTTTATTATATTTGGTTTTATTTAATTAATTAATACATTTTTGTGTGAAAACATGCCCACGGTGGGGGTTGGTTCTTTTTCTTATTTATCTATTTTTTTTCCTGCCACAGACGCTTTGCCATGTTCTGTATTTGATGTACTAACTTTGCCAGGTGTGCAGAAAAACCCAATAAAAAAACAACAGCAACAATCAATTAAAACTAAAAATGCTTGATTTATATGGATATGCATATCATATGTTCTGTGAGGGATATCATTTTGCTAACGCGTGCATGCGCGTCACTTAGTTTTTGCCGGATCTTTAATCCGCCAAGCTTCAGCCGATCAGCTGGGGCATTCACTTTAACTAACAGTAGTAGGGAGTCAGTTGACGCTCTTGTTGGCAGAGACTTTGATGTTGTATTTTTATGATATTGTCTTGTTGCATAAGAAGTATCTTATGTCACTTTTTCATCGTGTCAGATGGGTGGTTTAAAAACCCAATGCAGGGAACATCTCCACGTTTTTTACTCCCTCCCTGCCTTCCATCCATGTCGGAGCCCCTCTAGTTCGTACCAAGGCAAACTCGTGGGAGATCCGTCCATCGGGTGGCAGCTTGGCTCCGAAGCCCAGTGCTGGAAACATCTTATCGCTGTCGTAATCCTGGATGATTTCTCCTACTGCCTTCAGGGCCATGGCGTAGGCGTTCAGCTGGTATGGACTCATGTAGTGGAGTGACGTGGGCTGGGCTGGGTTACCTGTTTGAGACAAAGGGAACACATACACAGCACAGATGATACTCCGTGGGATAATGGAAGAGGTGAGGTGGTCACGCTTCAGTCATTCTTTGAAGCGTACCATCACTATTTGAAAAGCCACTTGAACTTTTTTCCAATGCTTGTTTGTTCGGTGGTTCGATATAACTATGACTCCAACAGCCCACCGACAAATAGTTATCTGGGTGTTCTGTTTGTATGGCAACAAAACCATGCATCACATCACTGACGGAGCCAAATTGACTGCTAATAACCTTAATGTAATATTAATATGAAACGTTTTTTAACTTGCTACTCCAGCTGTGTTTCAATAAAATACAGAACTCTGCCATCCATTATTCAAAAAAACAAAAAAAAAAACATCTACTGCTACCGCCCGCCTGTCCTGCTAGGACCGAGTTCAAGGATAGATGGATAACACGGTCCTTAATCACAGCCATCGTAGCATGTTACTGCACTCAGCTTTAGCTGCCAGGTGTGATGGAGAGGGCCATTAGTAAACATTTGAATCCATCTGCATTTATTTGAATAAACACTCTTCCCAGGCAGGGTCTCTGAGTGTGTGTGCACATTCAAAGTGTGTGTGTGTGTGTGTGTGTGTGTGTGTTTATTGGGAGGCTCACCATTGGAAGCTGTGAAATCGATGGCCACAGTGAAGTTAATCTGGGTCCTGAGAAGACAAAAGCAGAGAGGTGATTCATTAATCAACAATCCTTTCCCCTCTCTCTCTCTCTCTCTCTCTCTCTCTCTCTCTCTCTCTCTCTCTC